TACCAATCGACCTAAATAAATTGTTATCAGAGGTGTAACAGTAAGTCCAACTACAACCCAAAAACTAGCGAACATAAGGGATAGGAAGGGATGATAAATTAGCGCCTACCGTAACTAATAAGACTTCAGTTGAAAAAACCGTTGGTGTAGAGTAAACCTACAGCAAGAAAGGTGGTTGATAAATTAATCACATGCACTCTTAAGGGAGAAAACGACGCTACCACTGCAAATATCGAAAGCATCTGAGGGAGACTATCGTTTCAAGCATGCTTGCACATGTTTGATAAGGGCTCTTAGAGTGATGAAATTGAGAAGCATATTTAAAAGAAATAAATGCTCTTTTACTTTCTCATGGGTAATGTGTGCAGAAGTAAAGATATTGTAGACCATAGTAAAATATTGGAAGCAGTTTGAAAATGTTCATGAAAATATCTCACTATTCGAAGAGGTAATTTCATGCATAGGACACTGAAAAGTAAAAGGAATTCTATGCACTATGATGAATGAAAATCTCCGTGACCCACTGTTTATCATATAAAATGTGTTCGGGCAAAATTTATTTCGTGATTCTTGAACAGAGCCTAAGCTTCCCAATTTAGTTACTTACTTTATAGATGATTAACGAGTCTATGCATGAGATCTTAGAGCCTTGGAGTATTGACGTTTACGGATAGTACGATGTATACTAACTCAAGGTCTAATACCCACAACTTCTATAGTATTCATTCTGCGTAGACCAAAGGCAAAGTAAAACACCAAATTACGAAGTATATTTCGGGATCGAATAGTAGTGTGAGGGTGACTGCACGAACGAACAAAAGTAATGCGATGGCATGCCGAATGGCGTGGATGCTTGACCTTAAGCTTTCAGTTAAGCAAGTCGACTTAGACAATGAGGGTCAGCATTCAATTTCTAGTGATGACTGCTGTGACTTATAATTTTGGGAAATTGCCTACAGCCACAAGGATATAAATTTCTTATCGGTTGATATGAGTAGTCAATTACCACTTACAGCAGACAGTAGCACTTACCAGCCAGATTTGAAAAACCATGACATCAAACGGCCATTTCACTCGTTTGGGAAAAGGTCATAAACCATCTACCATGTTTTAATTCAGATCAGACGGTTAAATCAGTTGAAACTACTGAAATTATGGCTATCGATCGATAATAACCCATCAGTAGTATAAATCATCCTAGACTGGTTCTTCGTTTCCATTAAACGTGCCGGGTGAATGACATGCTGTGGTCTGATCATTTCGGCTTTCTAAAGGAAATTATATTGAAATTTCAGTGCGATATGAGAATCTGACTCGATATTTGGTCACTCCATAGTCACTAGTGTCATCATTAGCTTGAACAGCATTTTGCAAATCTTTTTTAAGTTCATGTACTCTGAAATTCCATCAGATACCTAGGTCCCTATCATGGAAAACATCAAAGCAGATAAATCCCATAGAAGACAGTCAAGGCGACGTGATTACCAAAGGACACATAAATCAATGGGCGGATCACTTCAAAGGACTTCAGAGTCGACCATGTTCACCTGCAGTTCACCCAAAAATATCACCAACAACAACAACACACACAGAACTTCCTGCTGATGGACACCGATTCTCCAGCAAAACAAAAGTCTTGAATGCTATCAAGCACCTGACAGCCGGCAGGGAAGGCAGCATGACCTGATGGAATTCCTCCGGGTGCACTGGGAACGGATCCAGAGACCACGGCGGATATGCACACCCCAACATTGCAAAGGCTTGGAGGGAAGGAAAGGCATCTACTAGTTGGGAGGAGTGTTACCTCGTCAAAATACCAAAGAATACGAAATGAAGCCTCTGAAACATTGGCAAAGTTAAACTTTAGACACCACTAACAACCAATCAGCAGACGACCTCGAACGGACCAATCACATTAAAGAGGCAAATATGATGAATGGAAATGTATATTTATAGAAAAAAGCATAAAATAGATAATAAAAAAGGTTACATGGGATATCTTTCTCGAGCATGTGAGAGAAAATTCTCCCAGTTCAGCATGGGACTGTCAATGGAGAAGTTACCCCATATCCTGTACATATATTCGTCCAAATGACTATAAATGAGATCCTTTTGAGATACATTTATAGCCCTTATCCTATTTTCCAACCTGTCCCAAAATCCTTCATTAGAATTTGTATGTGTCCTCGTAACGGGATCCACAAAATCACTTGAATGGTTGTCTCTATGATGAATATATCCCGGAGATGACAGCGAATTGCAGCCTTTCCACTCGTCCGTGTGTATAATTAACAATTCTGGTAACAATAGGTATAAGAGTAGTTGCTTTTCTATCTGCTATCCTTAGGGAGAGAAGCGACCTAGCGAAAAAAGTTCCTACGAAATAATAAAATTATCAGCATACCCTCTCTAGTGCTAGTAGGCTTCAAACATATAGCACAACGATGAACAAACCCATCAGTTGATTTGGTATAGCTTTTCAAAGTCATGATACCACCACACAATCGAATTCGTTCTTTCCGGAGCAACTCAAATCTAGGAAATACGGGAAAACACTAACCTCCTCGAAGTGCAACAGTAGCCTTGTAAGGTCACGCATTAGAAATGAATCAAGCGCTATACAACACTGAACTGCGTTCGTGAATCTCATTGGATAATTCGCTGATTGGTAGTTAGTGGTGTCGAAAGTTTAACTTCGCCGAAACATTCCCTTGTCCATGCGGAGCAAGCCATCAAGTCACGTCCTCCTGGAGAGAATAAAAGGTGTGTTAGATCCAGAACTCCAACAGGAACACACCGGATTCAGGAAAGGCGAATCATGTGCCGATCAAATTGCAGCTCTGTGCATCATCATTGAATGTAGTGTAGAATGGCAGTCAAATTTCCACCTCAAACTCCTCGGCTTCGGAAATACCTTCGACAGCGTTGACCACGAAGTTATTTGAAAGCTACACCGACACTGTGGAGTGCCAAATAATCTTCATCAAGCTCATTCAATAGCTACATGGCAATGTAACATGCCAAGTGATTCACAACGGAAGTCCCAGAGAAGTGTTTGAAGTGAATATAGCAGTAAGACAAGGCTACCTACCATCAACGATGATGTTCCCAATTGTGGTGGACTGGAATAGGCTTTGAACTGAGTGGAGTGAAGAGACATGAGTGCGTTGGACCGATAAGAAGACTCTAGAAGACCTGGACTTCGCTGTCGAATTATGTCAAATGTCACACAAATTCGAGGACTTGCAGGCAAAAGCTAACAATTGACAGATGAGTTAGGCAGCAAGGACAGGACTTCAAGTGGACACAGGAGAAAACGGAGGTGATGAAGATACTCTAGCACCAACAATAACAGCCATCAGTGAGCGCTAATAACCACCAACGGAATGAATTTGAAAGAGGTCACTTCCTTCGCTTATCAAGAAGGCATAGTTTCAACTACAGGTGGAATGGATGAATATGTCCAAACCAAGGTCGGAAAGGTAAGGCATACCTTCAACACTCTGAAATCAGTTTGGCAATCTGCCGCACTCAGTATGAAGAAAAAAATTCCGATTTACAGCACCAATGTCAAGCCAGTTAGTACTTATATATAGGCCAGAAATTTGACACGTCCATCAAGAAAAGCACTTCTAAGAGGCCACTGCTGACTTTTATTAAGAGCTACCTGCGCTTCACACTGAAGATCAGATAGCCGGGTAGAAACAATTAGCAACGAGAATCTCTGGGAACGAACTGACCGATAACCAGTGCATCTTCCATCCTCTCCAGGATGATGGGACTTAGCACTTTACTTGGCGTGGACAAGAGAATTATTCCACACCAGTTCTTACAGAGAAAGACGTTTGGTAGTTTGACAAGGCGACCCATCACTCTTCAAATCAGCAGGCATCTTTTCTTCCTTCCAAACCTTTTGCAATAATGGCGTGAGAATATCTGCTGCAGTCTCTGTGCTTCGGGATTAGTTCCATCTGGTTCTGCTGCCTTTACGACTAGACTCCAGTAGGCTGATTTCATTCAAGATTTCTGATCTTGTCAGGGGATTTGTGTCCACTGGAATGCATTTGTGTGCGTCGTGTTGGTGATATTTCTTGCTGAAATGCAGGTGAACATGTTCAACTCAAGAGTCCTCTGAAGTGATCCACCCATAGTTTTATTTGTTTCTCCTCCTTGATAACTAGGCTGCCTTGAACACCCTTTACAGGTTTCACCTGCGTTTATCTCTTCCCAGATACCCGCTCATCTGGTATGATGTCCTCAGGGCTCTCTTACCCGCAGTCCTCCTGTTCTGTTTCAGTTGCTAGCAAGACTGTCGTAGAATTGTCTTTTGTCACTCCTAGCAGTCTTGTTCACCTACATATTCACTGCAGTGTACTTTGAACTCAGCTTCTGCTTCTTGTTTCCAAAGGACAACTTCATGTTATGCTGAGACGACGCCTAACAGACTACCTTCAAGTGTTGGTTTGTAGGGATTTGATTGGTTTCAGGATTTCATCATGAGCTGACATTAGTTAGAGAACCATCAGAAAACCTGGGAGTACTGGACAGCTGTTTCGTCCTAGTTTGCGACTCTTCAGCAGTACGATCCCACAGGGATTCGAACCCAGGACCTTCTGGTTACAAGGCGAGCTCGTATACCATTAAGCCACTGGGACCCGATCTAATGGTACTTGAATTCTAACTTCTGCCAATTCACGACGAAATCCTGAAACCAATCAAATCCCTACAAACCAATACTTGTGTGGTGAGAGCAGGCTGCTAGCCGATTGGTTGGCACTAATCTACGTTAAGGTCTAGGTCACTAATATGGGCCGTGAGAAAATATGAACAAGCCTGAGTCAACAACCAATCACAGCAAAGTTAACGTGGCAAAATGTGATTCGCAGAGAGAACTCTATTTGTCAAGGAATCCCGAGACAACCAATCAGAAGCCTGCGTTTGTCTACCTAAACAACCAATCAGATGACTGCGCTTGTCTATAATAATGTAGTTGAAAGATGTATAAATACGTGTTGATTTTCATAATAAAACGATCTGTTGCCTGGCCCTTGTCTTCTGTTGTTACATTTGGTGTCGCTGCCTACCGACAAATGAAAAGCCTATACCCTGCAGTTTTTGATGGAGACATATGGATCTTCGGGCAGGACTTCAAGGCTTCTGCGCAGTTGAGTGGCGTTCAAGATCTGTCAGCGATGGAGCTGCTACTTGGGACGCTGCTGGGAGGTCGGGTGAAAGCAGCATATGAAAGTGTGAGCCGAAGTATGGACGAATGTTCGACAGGGTCAGGCAAACAGTTTCCAAAGTGGGAAGGACCATATATGGTCACTTCGAGATGGGGTTACGCAGACACAGTCGCAATGGCGAACAATGAGAGGCGCGTGAACGTCAGCGAGCTCCAGAAATGGATACAGCGAGACAAGCCAACGATGACGCCTGCACCAAGTAGATCAAGCCGACTTCAGTCGCACGTATTTGACGGGGGGACGAGTGTGGTGAGAGCAGGCTGCTAGCCGATTGGTTGGCACTAATCTACGTTAAGGTCTAGGTCACTAATATGGGCCGTGAGAAAATATGAACAAGCCTGAGTCAACAACCAATCACAGCAAAGTTAACGTGGCAAAATGTGATTCGCAGAGAGAACTCTATTTGTCAAGGAATCCCGAAACAACCAATCAGAAGCCTGCGTTTGTCTACCTAAACAACCAATCAGATGACTGCGCTTGTCTATAATAATGTAGTTGAAAGATGTATAAATACGTGTTGATTTTCATAATAAAACGATCTGTTGCCTGGCCCTTGTCTTCTGTTGTTACACTTGAATACCAATGAGATGCTCACTGGCGACCGGCCCTATTCAGATAGGTAGTTACCTGGGTTCCAGTGGGAAGTCGTGACCAGTAGGGTGCAGCGGGTCGGGTGTGAGGACAAATACTCGCCGAAGACATTGGCTAGCGGTCGCGCTATGTCGTGAATTGGCAGAAGTTAGAATTCAAGTGCCATTAGATCGGGTCCCAGTGGCTTAATGGTATACGAGCTCGCCTTGTAACCAGAAGGTCCTGGGTTCGAATCCCTGTGGGATCGTACTGCTGAAGAGTCGCAAACTAGGACGAAACAGCTGTCCAGTACTCCCAGGTTTTCTGATGGTTCTCTAACTAATGTCAGCTCATGATGAAATCCTGAGACTACCTTTAATATAACAATGAAATGATAAAGGTAGGCGCAAAATGTCGACCCAGTTATGCACTGTTGACTCTAGGAGGCTACCACTAATGCTCACACTCCTGATATCCAGGTCATGATGACCTTAACACGGTAGCATCTAGGATTAATAATCTAAATGTCGAGCCATTAATAAAACACCCAAGGAGATCCTATGTTATGTACACCTTGAATAGAAAAGAAGAAATACAGAATACTCTAACGGCTGTTTAAACATGAAGTTAATCAGTCACGCATAAAGGTGGAGAAACTCGATAAAGAGAGTACAGCAACGAATAGGGCACCCGAAACACGGGAAGATGTATCACAGTGAATAAAAAGAGTGAAAAAGTCCACATCTAGCATGAAAACGATGCCTCGAGAGTACTACGACAAATGACCCAAAGCTAAAAAGTTTTGCATATAGGCGAAATTAGGGGTAGTACCATCGTGATGTACAGCTTGAAGTTTACTTGGTCATTGAGTTCAAAAAAATAATCGAGAAGATTCAAATGCGTGAACGCAGCAGAATGGAATAAGCAGTCAAAAGAAATACAATGGTTGGTGGTATAGCGATTAGGACGCTCGCCGACCATGCACATGGTCCAGGGTTTGATCCCCGGCCACAGACGCACTCTTTTACCTTGCTAAGCCAGAAATAATACTGGTAAAGAGGAAAGGTTGGGCATGGGGCTAGCAACCCCATCTTGTAAAAATAAACACTGCTACAGAACCTTCTAGCCACTAGCTTGGAGCCCCATGTTCCACTGGGGAACGTGAAGGAAAAAAAATACTTCGAGTGTACAACCTAGCTGTTGTGTCATATAAGAGGGAGAACGTTATGGTTATTCTTCTTAAAATTCTTCGGTAATATTTTTGATTATTCATCAGCTGAAGTCTAATATGCGATTTAAAAACGAAATAAATTTGCCTCCCATTAAGCTAACGAAATAATTTTTGTCAGTGGTCACTCACGGTCACGCACTGCACAACAATAAACTATCGTTAGAACAATCTGAAACTTTTCCAGACTATATTACAGTGGGGAAATTCAGGAAGGTATACCGAAGTTTCGCTTGCCAACTGTGTTAGAAGACATCACACACACACAATACTCAGTAAACATGTATTGTAGAAAACCAAGAATATATATGCAAAACTTTCTTCTTTAATTTTTGGTATATTTCAAAAGTTATGATAGAAATTGAATTACAATAACAAATATTGAAATTCTGCACAGCAGTATTACACCTCCTCATTTGCATATATATATATATATATATATAAGTGGGAAAAAATGTATATTTTAGATTTCATATAGATTGTGAAATACACATTTAGGCACTTGTAAGAGTTCTTGTGATTTACTTTGTATTCATTAGAACAATATACAGGCACTTTAAAAAAAAGAATCTTTCCTGAATAATAACAAGATATGTGCATACATACTATGCTCATCAGATAATTCATTTATTTGCTTTCTCCAATGACATAAAATAAGCTAAGCGTGGACTGTAAAGATGTGGGTTACATATTAATGTAAATATCTCAGCTGATATGGTACACATTAAAGAGAAACTGAGAAGTTAAAAGAGAAGCATGAAATATCAAGCAGAAAGACAGTGGAGACAAGGGGAAAAAGAGTAGAGAATTACGTAAATGGCAGTGAATGTTTTGTATTTATGAGGTATGTGTGTTCTAATTCACAAAAAGTAGTCCCTAATATATATATATATATATATATATATATATATATATATATATATATATATATATATATATATATATAGTCGCATTTAAATGTAATATTTGCTATAAAAATTAATAAAAGCCTTCAAATATCAGTAGTAGAAAGGCAAACGATTGTGAGACACAAAACATATTAGAAAATGAAGATGGAAAATAGACAAAGTGCTGCAAAAAAATAAAGGCAAGTTTGAATATACATATAATGTAAATGAAAAAAGACAACTAGAGAATATATATATATTATTGAAGTTGTTAAGACTCAAGTATATGAGCCTATGAGATAAGGTGTGTGTGTGTGTGTGTGCGCAACCAACTGAGAATGAATTCTACTTCTCTGGTACAGCAGAGATAGATGGCAGTAATTCCATACTGTGCGTAATTCTATGGTACAACTACAAGAAGAAAAAAAATAAAAAATAGGAGGAAAGTCATGATTACTTACATCATATACACTTAGATTTAAACTGAACACGATATGTTACAGTGACGTCAGCCAATCTCATAATTTAAAGCAACTATAATACATAAATACGGGTTTCGGTAAAGAGCAAAAACCAACTATAAATGTCAACTATTGTTAGGTGTCAGTCTCTTTTTGCAAATGTATTGGCCCCCACTCTTTATGTCAGAGAATCTAATCGATGTGTGTTCATTATCCATAGAATTCTATAAAGGTAGATATATTGATCAACATATTCTTACCATCAGTTTTACTTTACTTCCTTAAATTTGAATATAAATTTGGAATTAAACCAAGACAATACTGTTTTCAGTTAGATCTTCCTTAGACTTTATTTCTAATAAATATGGCTTTATATTTAGAATTTTTTAACTGAAATTGATTCGGTCATATGCTTCATGAATAGAGGAAGAAAGAAAAGTGCCAAAAATTCCTTAGAAAATCATTTAGGATAAATCCATAATGTGCTGCTCCAAATGGATGATTCTAGTGGATTTGAAGGATATATACAAGTATTGTTTACAACAAAGAGAAGCCGATCAGGATTATTCCTGAAGCTGCATTTCAATATAGACGTGACTAGTGAATTCCTACATATAAGGTTATCCAGAGCCATAAAAATGGCTTATACTAATGCCAGCCTTTGTCTGTCATTTTTCTACCGACCAATTATGATTGTTCAAGCGGAAGGTAAGCTGCCTGGTTGGACCACTTCTATGTGCACCTATAAGTTTAGCTTTTCCTGTGGAGAATGCAATATATATATATATATATATATATATATATATATATAAACAGCTTAGCGGATGAATTACTGAGCATCTTCTATTATGATTCGTAAAAGGCCAGAAAAAATCCAAAAGAAGCTTTATTTAGTCTCATTTGATTGATAGCGATCACAGAGTGGATTGAAGATATGTCTACAGTCATATATCGCATTCAATCAAAAGGAATTCGAGGTCATTTTTTCACACAAAAGAAAGCTATAGCAATTCGAGGGAACAATCCTAGTCTTTGAGTACAAAAGAAGTCTGTTCTACCTTTGTTTCTCCCTTGGCTTAGGTAAATCTAATAAACTAATTAAAACTTTGCATCCCTTTTCTCGTACTTTTATGATATTTATTAAAAAGCCGATTATCTATCCACTTCATCTTTAGTACTATGCAACTTTTAATTTAATAAGATTTTGACTTGATTTAATTACTGAACTGTGCGTCGGTGGCACAGCGGTCAGGACGCTCGCCGACCATGCACATGGTCCAGGGTTTGATCCCCGGCCACAGACGCACTCCTTTACCTTGTTAAGCGAGAAATAATGCTGGTAAAGAGGAAAGGTTGGGCATGAGGCTAGCAACCCTATCCTGTAAAATTAAACACTGCTACAGAACCTTCAAGCCACTGGCTTGAGGCCCTATGTTCCACAGGGAACGTGAAGGAAAAAAAATTACTGAACTATATACAGTATCATACTATCTTTATTCTTCCTATCGCCATCCATGTCAACTGCTTGAAGTTTTGTAATCACCGACCTTATTATTATTATTACTGCTCCTACTATAATCACCATTATCACTGACACATTCACGACATTTAGCACTCATTACTTCTGATCCACAAACTCATAGTCATTTAATTCAATTTTAGATTTTCTCATCGATTGATTGGATCGAAGTGCTTGGTCGCACAGGAGGTGGGATCTCGTGGGCCAAGTGATCTAGTGGATAAAGCATTGGCGTTTGAAGCTACGGACACTGGGTTCGAGCCTCAGTGGGAACACCGTCACTCACTGGGGAATGCGGGTAAATCCAGTTGACGAGTCCCAAATAGGACGAAATGAGCATCCTGGATTCCACTGCTAGTCACCATCCACCAACTGCCTTCATAATCATTGTCCACAATTATATATATATATATATATATATATATTATTTATTAAATTTTATGTACATTAGAGCAAAGCGTGAGGATCTCATTGAATACAATGTTGTTCGCCTATATGTCTTGTTTTAATTTAATAATGTCAGATATAACGTAAGCCTGCAGAATGCGAAATTATGGTGGATTTTCACGTTTTAGCGGTAATTTTTCAGACAATTTTCTCGCAACATTAAATCATTCATCTCCAGCTTTACAAAAAACTGCATTGTGGTAGATGGGAAATTGGTTCGAAATATCTTGATAATATTGAAAAAATCTGTTTAAGCCAAATAATAGTTATGATAATGAAGTGCTCTGTTCATAGCAACTTAATTGGAAAGCATACTCTCCCGCCGGCTGCATATAAAACAGCAATCTTACATATAATCGGTAAGAAGATAAACAAACTAGAATTCGCGATAATGAAGATTTTTTTATTTGAATTTCAATGGCAGTTCACCTTGTCCTGACTGATAGTTGCCGTGCTTGC